TATGTGTATTAGTCTGGCTGTTAATCTATATGCATGATGATTAACTTTATTATTTTTTTCCAGTACCAGGGATTGAACTCAGGACCTTACACTTGCCAGGCAGGCGCTCATGCTGCTGAGCTATCTTCCCAGCCTGATGATTAACTTTGTAAGGACTTATAAATGAATGAATCTTATGCTGACAGAAAGGGGGGTGGCACGGAAGGGAGAAAAAAGAATTGAGACGTGCTCTGTGTAGGGACCAAGTCCCCACAATGAATATAGTCATTATATACTGCAAACATACACTAATAAAAATAAAAATGTTTAAAAACAAAAAAAAATGATTCTAACATCTGGGAGGCCCTTAAGAGTCCTGTTTTTAAAATCTATTTATTTATTTATGTGATACAGGATTTCACTACACAGCTCAGACTCAAAGTGATCCTCCTGTCTCAGCCTCCCCAGTGCTGGGATTACAGGTGTTCACCACCACGCCTGGTTTCAGCGGTTGGCATGGCACGCCCAGGGTTCGCAGGCCAGCTTGGCATACGGTACCAGAGATCCAACCTGGGTCCTTATGCTTACCAGGCAGGTGCTTAGACCATCGAGCTGTTTCCCCAGCCCCAAGAGTCCTTTTATTAAAAGCTGTCATAACTAATAAATGATTCGGTAAATTTATAGTTTATAAAATCAACATACAGCAGTCAGAGGCGAATTACTGTGGGTCAGTTAAAAATAAAAATATGTTTTAAAAATCGATTGTGTTTCTCCACATTAACCCTGAACTGTCTGAAAGAAAATGAGAAGCTGGAGCTCCAGCTGCTCAGAGAAGCTCCTTCCCCTGGCTCAGTCCTCACCTCCCTCACTGTGCCTGGGATCTTCTCCAGTTAAGTTGCTTGCATTTAAATGCTAGTCTGAGATTCTGCTCTTGCAAGATTACACATGAACGCAGAGGTCAACACATAGTCACAGCCAACTGGCGCTTTGATCCAGCCTGAGACCAGAGGAACTCTGCCACAAACCGTGCTCTGCACCGCCCCCACCTCCCTGCATAGCACTGCTAGTCACAGAGGCAGGATGCTGGGCATGCTCCTGCTCATCTGCTCTCCCCACAGTGAGCCCACCCAGAAAATCCCTTCTCTGGGTTCAGATGATTCTGATACCACAAACCCAGCCATATGCTTGGGATAGACCTAGCATGGCCTGGCTAAGCTGTCCTGTGCCACCACGTCTGTCTGTCAGCCAGAGAGAAGCTGGCGGATGTCCTGTGGAGGACATCAGCTTCGGACCAAGGGATCACACTGGCACTGGGGACTTGTGGGTCTGAGATCCAGGGGAAACTTGAGCTTATTTGTGGAGCTCGCCAAGCAGTTTCAAATACATACTGTGTACCTGCATCTGCACTACATTTACATCTATACCTAAATCTACATCTATCTCTATATACGTACATAATACACATGCGTACTTATATACACATATGCACGCATGCATTTTAAGGAGCTAAGAAATTTTCCAGGGTCACACAGTTTGTAAGTATCACATGAAGAATTCAGACCCAGGTAGCCTGGCTCCTAATCATTCCTGGATCTGATGCCAGCTGGGAACTCTGAGCTCCTCCTTAAGTGCAGAGGGTGCTCAGGCATGAAGCTGCACCCAGTGCCAACCTGCTGGATCAGCTGTGTCGGGAGGCTGCAGTGGGAGGGACTGTGATAGCTACAAAGTTATTTTGATACAGGAGGTAGGGTGTGGCTAGACTGGCCAGAGAAGGGGAGTACCTGTCAATTTCAAAATCCCAGAGGGGTGCCAGCCTTTAGAACTCCTTCCAAAGCTCTAGGGAGATAAAGGTGACCAGACCACCAGAAGCCCGCTATCCAGCCTCCTCACGTTACCCACCCCTGGTCTCCTAGTTGCAGAATGCTTTTTTATTTTCGTTTTTGTCCTCTTTTTGTTCTCTTACCCCTTCACCCCTCACCTTTCCTGTTTTTGTTTGTTTGTTTTTAGCTTGAGTTTTGTTTTTGTCTTACCATGTAGCCCAAACCTGCCTCAAAACTCACGGCAATCCTGCCTCAGCCTCCCAAGCACTGAGATTACAGGCATGGTCTCCCACACCCAGCAACCCTCACCGCTGAAACAAACATGTGGCACAGGTTTTGGCTTGTCTCATTCAATTCTTTGTTCCAGGCAAGAAGGACCTGGAATACTTTTGTTGGGCAAGCCATTTCTAAAGGAACAGCCCCACAACAGTTTTCCCTCATGCCCCTTCCTCAACACCTCCCTCTTTGCCTTTTCACGAGAATTAGTCAATCCACCCAACCTCAGTGTTCCGCTTTATTTCTGGCCTCCTTAGGGCCTAGGGCGGTGGATGCACAGATCTCCCTACCTTAAAAACACTTGAAAGGAATGCCAGGCCTGAAGGGTCCCTGCGCAGACACAGTCAGTGTTGCTTCCTAGATGACCTTGGCCTGCCATGCAGACACAAGTAAAACTTGAGTGGTATCTGGTAAACATCTGAATTAAAGCAGAAGGAGGGGGTCGGGGAGATGGCTCAGTGGAGTAAGTGCTTCCCTGGCAAGCACAAGAGCCTGAGTTCAATCCCAGGTTCCACAAAAAAAAAAAAAAAAAAAAGCAGATGGAACTTAAATTCCACTAATCAGAAGCAGCCAATAAACTTAGATAATGAGGAACAACTTCACAATGGGTTAGAGTGCAAATACAGTGGATAGATAGGGTTTTTGGTGTTTTTTTGTTGTTTGGTTTTTTTTACTTTCCACCTGTATTGAGCCTATAAAACCTGGCCCTTACACTCTATTTCTGATTTGGAGCTGCCTGATTTGTCAATTGTTGTATATGCAACTTTAAACATTTTTTCTACTTTGTCTTATTTTTTAACATTACCAAAGTACTCTGAATGCCATTTGCTGTCTCAGCAGCTTCATAATGGATGCCTTGATAGTGGGATACTGTTAGATCAGCATGTTCGGAGCACCAACTGGCCCAGCTCTTCTTACACCTTTCCTAGCTTTAAAATTGAAAGGTTAAAGTTCTGGGAAATTCTTCAGAGACAAAGAGCTGGGACGATAAGGTCATTCTCATGACATAGGCTGCAAACCACAAGGTCTTCTTGCCAGAAACTTAGAGATTTGGCTTGGAACTTTGTATCAGCAAAAGCAAAAAGGGAAGCACCATGCACAAAAGTTTTAGTGTCTGTAATAGCTTTCTACTATATGACAGAAATCTGCATTGTGCAATATAGTAGTGACTAGCCACATGTCTCTATAGAATACCTAAAATGTGATAATATGTCAGAGGAACCAAATATTTCATTTTACTTCAATATATTAAAATTTAAATAGCCTCAACTATGGCAACTGCATTTGGACAGCACAATTGTATTAGATTAAAACAAGCAAGTTGCTTAGGAAGAAACTCTTAATATCAAGGCCTGCATTTCACCCAGGACTTACCACACCTGAGGTGAATTTAACATTGTGTTTGCCTAGGTGCTTGCTCTTTCTTATGTACATGAAAGCAAGGGCTTCTATAGCAGCGCCACAGGTTAAATGCCCTCCAGAATGCTTTTCACAGTTTATGTACTCAGTTCTTAGGGTACCGTAGATGGTGGGCACTTTTAGTATCCACAGGGACAAGGCTCGTCCTGGCCCTGAAAGAAACTCCTTCCTTGGCCCCAAAGCAGGGCACATCTCCAGCCCTTCCTGGGGGAATCTGGAGCTCAGGAAGCTGGCATGGGGTAGAAAAGAGCAGGGAAGAAGGAAAGAGAGGGGTTCCAGAGGCCCCCACTGCACCTGAGGCTGACAGCACCCAGCTTCATGGAAAAAGTGAGCCATGTGTGGCATCAGCCCTGGCACCGGAGGGCGTCTGGGTTGTCAGAACGAAGACTGTCTGCAAGGTCACAGAGTGTCCCTGTACCTCCTTAGACATGGAGCCGGACCCAGCCCAGACAAAGGCCCCTTCCATACCTGCTGTGGTTGTCCCCTGACTTCCCTCCATGCCAGCCTGAGAGCCTGAATCTCTGAAGCCCACCAGGTCCTTAGGGCTCTTCCAAGCAATCCCTCTCCCCACTGTCACCCTCGCCTGTGACTGGGCAGCTGATGACTCCAGGGTCAGAAATATCCTCACAGTCACCTCCCACATGCCACCTTCCCCTTCACTCCATTCCCTGAGAGTCTGGGCCCTGAGTCACAGGAAAGAGTCCAGAAGTGGACAAGGACCTAGATGACAGTGTGAAAATGACAAGACCCTCAAGAGGAGTGGGGAATGGCCATTCACAGGTTCTCCAAACCTCCTTCTCTCAGGAATGAAGAGAGGGGAGAACAAGGGAACAGAGAGCTGGGCCTCACTGTCAGAGGTGTCCTGGCTGGGAGCAGAAAGGCTGGCCCAGCCCTGCCCCTATACCCATGGTGGTATACGAATGGCATTCACATTCAGAAACCAGCCCAGCCTCAAGAAAAGGGGGTTCGCAGGATTAGAAGCAGGACCATCCAGGGGCATGGCAAAGGCTTTTCCGTATTCATTCCCCCAAAATAGCCTGGTGACCCCTCCACCCCCGCCCCACACCACAGCTGAGTCACTGACCCCAATCTCTAAGCAGACTTTGGATGAATGAAGCTCTGCTCTCCTTCCCAGCCCCTCCCAGCCCAGAGGACATGACTGATGCCTCAGGATGGAAGAGAGACTTCCACAAGCCCTAAAAATAACAGAACCACTTAATACTCTGAACATAGCTGCCCTGCCCACTCCCACACTGCCCCCACACCGGCAAGATAAAGGCAGCTGCTGGGCTGGCAGAGCACAGACCCAGAGCCAGGGGAGTGAGAAGGTGCCTGACCAACTCCAAACAAGAAAGTCCAGAGGGACAACAGACCCCTGACTACACCTGCTACGACCCACAGAGCCTGTAGCACCCCAGCAGGCCATAGCAACCCTTGGTGAGTAACCTGCCCCCAACCTCCCACTGCACAGCAGCTCTCAATCCTGGGCTCTCTATACCCTGCAGGATGGGCTATTGGGTGGCGCTGAGGGAGAAGGAGGCTGAGGAGCACATGGGTAAGGGGAGGGGGGAGCTACAGTCCATTGGGAAGGTTCAGGGGTTTTTGTCACCCACTGGAGCTCTCAGAGCAGTGGTCAAAGGCCTAGTACAGACAAAGGTGTGGGCTTTTGCCAGTCAGAATAATCCAGGTTTTCAAGGGGTGCTGGAGATTTGAGTTTTAAAATCCAGTTGTGAAGCACCTCAGGGTTCAGGGCTTTCTCCTAGGGAAGCCTAGGGTAGGGAGGGAAGAGGACAGAAGAGAGGCAGGAAGTGTAGAGGTTGAAGCCAGTAGTAGAATGGAACACACCCTAGGATGGGCCCCTTGATCAGCTGTTGTGGGCATGTCTTGGCATGTCCAGTCCAGGGATTGCTCCCAGTGCGGCCCAGAGCCCAGCTCCCTGCTTATGGCGGCATAGATCCTAGGCAGGATGACTCTGCTCCAGCCACCTCTTGCCCTGTAGGGAAGTCCTTAGGTCGGATCTGTGTCCCCAAAAGGTTAAGACAGTGGAGGTGGCCAGGCTACAGAAGAGCCTGGATGAAGGTGGGCATCCTGAGAGGTCACGCTCTGGTTCAGTCTGGTTCCAGTTCTAAATTTCTGCCCTCACCCCAGCTCTGCCCCAGGCCTCAGGCCAGGTGAGGATGGAAGAAGAGTTTTGGAGTCAAGAAACACACTGCAGGCTTTGCTTTCACCTTGCTGGGCTCCCTGGGTATGTGGCTCCTCAGTTGCCTCCTCTGTGACCTCCAAGAGTCCTTGGTTTGGTATCTCTGGACTCTGTGATTCTAACAGCCTATAACCCTAGCAGGGTTTCTGGAGGTTCCTGGGAGCAGGGACAGGGTAGAGTTTGGCCTGAACATGATACCTGCCCCAGCTACCATCAGAGCTCAGGAATTAGGGGAAGCTTCCCAGACTGTCCAGGAGACTGGGCTATAGGCTTCAGCCCTCACACTCCTGAGATCCACAGTAGACAGACCAAGGGCGCACCTCCAGGGCAGCTTCCTCTCTCCTCCATGGAAGAATCCTGTCCCCCACTGCTGCCAGTATCCCTGCACCTACCAGCAACCCCTGACCTCTTGGGCCAGGGGAGGGCTCCAGGCTCCAGTGTCCAGTTGGCCTGCAGGGCAGGAGTCTGGGGCCACACAAGAAGCAGGGGACCAGGTCCTCTGGGAGCCAAGGGTAGTGAAGGAGATGACATGCGACACAGCCACCAGGGTCTCCCTAGCTGAGCCTGAACCTCCCTCTGAGTGCAGGGTTGCTATTCTGGGGCCAGGCTTTCAGCTATATTTAGTCCCAAAAGTGGCAAGGCACTGTGGGTCAGGGGCAGCAGGAGGAGTCGGTGCTTTTCATTCTTTCCCTACTGGGCTCTGGGGACTGTCACAACACCTGTCACAAGACAGATAAGATATGGATGAAACAGAAGCCAGAGAAGAGCCTGAGGCACAGGAGGTCATTGAGGAGTGAAGGCAAAGCCGGAGAGAGGCCCACTTTGTGGACTCTGAAAGACAGAGGGGAGAGAGGAGACAGGAGCCCATTTGAGGCTTCAGGGCCAGATCTCAGCCCGAGATCCTACACCTAGAAAAAAGCTGTCTTGCCTGTACACCTATGAGGCGTGGTCTCCATGGGCAAGGGCAGGGCTGTCTCTGCAGACAGCACCCTGGTCCCACAGTATTCCCCTCCCCTTGGAGGTGCCACCTTCATCTTCTCCCAGACACATCTGCTTCAGAAATGGGGACAATGGCCAATGTAAAAGCTTTGCATCCTCAGCCCTCTTATTTCTTGGGGGGTAGGAACCCTAAATAGGGTCTAGAGAGCCCAAGTCAGCATTAGCTGCCTCATTCACCAAGGTCTGATTCTGGGTCCAGTTTCTTCATATTTAATCATAAAAGTTTGGGTTAAGAGACCATTAAGATCCATCTGTCCCTGACCTTCTAAGTCCTGGGTATAGCAATTAGAAAACCTGAACCTGGCATTGAGAATTTGGCCCTGCCTAACCATGGGATATTTGGTGAGCAATTTTTCCTCCCTGATTCTTCCTTGCTTCTGCTATCACATAGGCTACTAACCCCTGCCACATCTCCCTGGGCTTGGGAAAGTCTGGAGTAAGTTGAGGGCAGGGAAGTAATGTTTTGACAGGTTTCCAGCCAAACTACCAAGTGCACCCTCTGGTCCTCTTCAGATGATTTGTATCAACAGTCTTAGGGACCCTCCACTCCAAGACCGAGACCCCATCAATCAGGATTTCTACAGGCCACTCATCTGGGGGCCTGATTTTCACCAAAGAAAAGTGATTTTGGCAAAGAAAGGCAAGGGCAAGACATATCTGTTTTCCCACTGGACACTGCCATCCCTTGTGCAGCTAAAGGAAAGTATCTCAAGTCAGTGGTGACTCCCACCCCCAACCCCCACCCCACCCTCACTCCCACCCTGCTCCCTAGCAACCAAGGTGAAGCTGGGAAGTAGGAATTTATGTTGATGGGTGGGTCCACATGTCCCAAGTTCAAGACCTGTCATATACCAGCCCTGCAGGCAGCAAAGTGAGCCCCAGGATAGGCTAACAGGAAAAGAGGTTCTCTATATATGTCAGCTTTGAGTACTGGGCTTTGCTCCCTGCCATTTATCCCAGCAACTGGCTCAACCCCAGCTGAGGACCTCAATGCCATCCTCATCTCTGCCCCCTTTTCTCAGAGGCTGGCTGAAACCCAGAGGCAAGTGGTCCCCACACCACCCATCCCAATGGCGACTGCAGAGGACCTGCCCCTCCCTCCACCCTCAACTCTGGAGAATCTTCCACCACCGCCCCCCAAGGAATCCTTCTCCAAGTTTCACCAGCAGCGGCAAGCTAGTGAGCTCCGCCGCCTCTACAGGCACATCCACCCAGAGCTCCGCAAGAATTTGGCTGAGGCGGTGGCTGAGGACCTGGCTGAGGTACTGGGCTCCGAGGAGCCTACAGAGGGTGATGTCCAGTGCATGCGTTGGATCTTTGAGAACTGGCGGCTGGACGCCATTGGGGACCGTGAGCAGTCAGCTGCCAAGGAGCCTGTGCCAGGCGGAGACGTCCAGGCCACCTCCCGCAAGTTTGAGGAAGGCTCCTTTGCCAACAGCATAGATCCCCAGTTGGTAGGACCTCGACCTACCGGAGGTGACGTTCGTGCTGCCCGCTGGCTGTTCGAGACAAAGCCACTGGATAAACTGACGGACCAGGCAGAGGCAACCGAGGCCCCTGAGAGGGAGCCTGCAGCCAGTGGGGATGTGCGAGGAACCAGGATGCTATTTGAGACTCGGCCACTGGACCGCCTGGGCTCCCGCCCCTCCATGCAGGAGCCGAGCCCGCTGGAGCTGCGCTCAGAGATCCAGGAGCTAAAAGGCGATGTGAAGAAGACGGTGAAGCTGTTCCAAACGGAGCCTCTGTGCGCCATACAGGACGCAGAGGGCGCTATCCATGAGGTCAAGGCCGCCTGCCGGGAAGAGATTCAAAGCAACGCGGTGAGGTCCGGGCGCTGGCTCTTTGAGACCCGCCCTCTGGACGAATTCAACCAGGACCCCAGTCAGGTGCGGGTGATCCGCGGTATCTCTTTGGAGGAGGGATCCCGGCCCGACGTCAGCGCCACACGTTGGATCTTTGAGACGCAGCCCCTAGATGCTATCCGTGAGATCCTGGTGGATGAGAAAGATTTCCAGCCATCCCCAGACCTTGTCCCTCCTGGACCTGACGTTCAACAGCAGCGGCATCTGTTTGAGACCCGAGCCCTGGACACTTTGAAGGGAGAGGAGGAGGCTACAGCTGAGACCCCGCCCAAGGAGGAGGTGATCCCCGGCAACGTCCGCTCCACCCTGTGGCTATTTGAGACCAAACCCCTAGATGCTCTCCGAGGCCAAGTTCAAGTGGGTCACTTGCAGCGGCTGGGTCACCAGGAAGGTGAAGGGCTCACATGTGACAGCTCATCAGCACTGCCTGTCTCTCAAGGTGCTACCCAGAGGGATGGAGTAAAAGGGGATGTGAAAACCTTCAAGAACCTTTTTGAGACGCTTCCCCTGGACAGTATCCAGCAGCGTGAGGCTGCAGCCTGTGGTACTATGTGCACAGCAGAAACCACTGGTTGCACCGGGCAGTCCCAGGTGGCAGGCTCCCCGGTGTATGCCATGCAGGACAGCAAAGGCCAGCTCCATGCCCTGACCTCAGTCAGCAGAGAGGAGGTTGTGGGAGGTGATGTGCAAGGTTATAGGTGGATGTTTGAGACTCAGCCCCTAGACCAGCTGGGTCGAAGCCCCAGTACCATTGATGTGGTACGGGGCATCACTCGGCAAGAAGTGGTGGCTGGAGATGTTGGCACTGCTCGATGGCTCTTTGAGACCCAGCCCCTAGAGATGATCCATCAGCGGGAGCAGCAGGAACGAGGAGAAGAGGAGGAAAAGAGTCAAGGAGGCCTCCAGCCTGAGGTACCCCCAAAGGGCGATGTGCAGACCATTCGGTGGTTGTTTGAGACGTGCCCAATGAGTGAATTGGCAGAGAAGCAAGTTTCAGAGGCCACAGACCCTACAGTCAAGGCCCAGGCACAGTCCTGCACCTGGATGTTCAAGCCCCAGCCTCTGGACCCGGTAGAGGACTCCAGGGAGAAGCACTTGCAGGTCAGACAGCTTCAGGCTGGGGAAAGACAGACTGATGGTCATGTCTTTGAGACTGAACCTCTGCAGGCCTCAGCAGGTGCCTGTCGAAGTGGGCCTGTGCGCTGCTGCAGCCGGGTGGAGATTCCTTCAGGGCAAGTGTCTAGGCAGAAGGAGGTTTTCCAGGCCCTGGAGGCTGGCAAGAGAGAAGAACAAGAGCAGAGCTCCAGGAAACCCACTGGGCCTATCCCTGCTGGATCTGTGCACAAGTTCACCTGGCTCTTTGAGAACTGCCCCATGGGCTCCTTGGCAGCTGAAAGCATCCGAGGTGGTGACCTGCAGGAAGAGCAACCCGGGAAGCTCTCTAGCAATGGGGTGCCAGAGAAGCAAGAGACTGCCACCGAGGGGACACTTCGGACTCTGCATGCCACACCTGGGATCCTGCACCATGGAGGAATCCTCATGGAGGCCCGAGGGCCAGGGGAGCTCTGCCTTGCCAAGTATGTGCTCCCAGGGCCAGGGCAGGGGCGTCCCTATATACGGAAGGAGGAGCTGGTGTTTGGTGAGCTTCCCCGGATTGTCCGCCAAGTGCTGCGCCGGCCAGATGTGGCCCAGCAGGGTCTGCTAGTGCAGGAGGATGTAACTGGCCATCTCTGGCTCCACCCGCTAAGACTGCCAGCTCCAAGTAACAGTGGGAGTATTGAAGACATGGATCCCAAGTTCCAGGAGCTGCTGGCTTGTGGCCTTGGGACCTCCATGGCAAGGACTGGCCTGGTGATGCAGGAGACAGAACAGGGTCTAGTTGCCCTGACTGCCTACTCCCTACAGCCCCGGCTACCTAGTGGGGTCCCAGAAAGGGGCAATGTGCAGCTGGTGGCCAGCTGCATAGACAAAGGAGACCTGAGTGGCCTGCACAGTCTGCGCTGGGAGCCACCAGCTGACCCAATTCCAGGGCCAGTCACTGGGGCCACCCAGAGGCTTCTCCCAACTGAGAGCATCATTCACATTCCCCCACTGGATCCCAGCTTGGGGGTGGGGCATCTGAGAGGCCCAGGAGCCAACTCTTGCTCACCTCAGGCCATGGCAAAGGCAGTCCCTCTGGCTGGGCAGGCTGTAGCCTCAGTCCTATTGCAGGATACAAAAAAGCAGGAGAACAGCAATCACAATGAGCAGAAAGTGACAGCAGCCTTGGGAAAGTCAGAAGGATCCATGGCCGCCCCTGCAGAAGCCAGGGTCCCAGACCTCCAGTCAGCCTTGCAGAATCTGAGAATGGCAACCACTGAAGCCCAAAGCCTGCACCAGCAAGTTCTGAACAAGCACAAGCAGGGCTCTGTCTCTGCAGCCACAGCTGCATCCATCCAGGATGGCCCACAAGCACCAATCCCTGCCATGGCAGCTACCCAAAGCAATAGCAGGCCTGTGGCTGGAGGTGACTCCAGGATCCCAGCAGCCCCCAGAAAGGTCAGTGGGGAAGAGAAAGCACTACCCAGAGGGCTGCTCAGGGGGCGGGCGACAATTCAGGATGGCATCTACACTGCTCACCCTGTGAGGACCTCTGAACCACCTGGGGGTGTCCAGCCTTCTGGGAAAGATCCCCAGCCAAGGGGCAGGGAGACTGTCCACTCAGCCCAGGTTCCCAGCACACTTCTGGGAGGCCCAGCCAAGAGTCCTACACCAGGGCGGGAGACTGGGGGCTGCACACAGAGTGCCTGGGGGCCTCCAGGGAAGATGGTGGCCCAAGACTGCCCAGGGGGCCTCCAAGCTGCAGAGACCACCCTGAAGACTGCCCCTTTGGCCTACCACACGCTGCCCTCTGGGGCCCAGCCTGCAGGTGCCAACCTGCATTCCCATAATGCTTCTGTTCCTCCCCCTCCTGCTCTCCCAGCTGCTGTGACAGGACCTGACCTCCCAGCCCAAGGCCACCATGATGAGGACTCCATCCAGAAGGCCTCCAAGCCCCAACAGGAACCCTTTTTTCATACCCTTCACAGCAAACCTGCTGGCCAGAGAAATCCTGGAGAACCACAGACAAAGACCCCAAAACCTGGGTACACTACGCCTCCAGGGAAGAAGCCTCCAGTGCCTCCTAAACCTGCACACCTAAGCCAGCTCCACCCTCCTCAGAGACCACCCAAGTCCTTACTTCTGTCTCCTAGCTTCTCTACAGAGGTGAGACAAGAACACAAACCAGGTGAGATACCAGCAGACAGCCCTAGACCAGCAGAGGTTCCCATGGCAAGAGGCCAGGGCTGCATGCCTCTGGATGGATGGGCCAGTGGACAAAGCCACTCAAGACCCCAACATGACCTCGGCACAGTATCCCCCAGGTTCACCAAGGCTCAGGCTGCTGGCAGCAATGCCCAGAGCCCTGAGCCCACCAAGCCCAGCACTCTCAACAGGGACTCTGACTCACCACAGGGGAGGCCCAGCTCACAAGGAGAGCTGCCCATGCAATGTTCCAATCAGAGAACCCCTAAGAGCCCCCAGATTCTACAAGGAAGCCAGCAAGAGCTCCAGGGTCTCCTGAGCCAGGTACAAGCTCTGGAGAACCAGGCTGCAAGCAGTGTGGATGTGCAGGCCCTGCAGAGGCTCTTTGAAGCTGTTCCCCAGGCAGGAGAGGCTGCCTCTCTGTCTCCTGCTGCCCCTCACAAGCCTGAGGCCTCAGTGGAGCAGGCTTTTGGGGAGCTGACACGGGTCAGTACAGAAGTTGCCCGGCTGAAGGAACAGACCCTGGCCAGACTCCTAGACATCGAAGAGGCCGTGCACAAAGCCCTCAGCTCCATGTCTAACCTCCAGCCCGAAGCTAACACCAGGAGCCATTCCCAGGAACCTCAAAAGGATCACAGTGCCCACAAGGTCACTGTCTCAGCCTGCAGTAGAGCTAGACCCAGTTGCTCAGGCCAGGAGATCAAAGATCCAACATCTATCAAGAGCCAAGCCAAGACTAGATGCCATACTGAAGACCAGGGTCTAGCCAAGATCAGAAATGACACAGAGGTCAGAGGTCAGGCAGCCTCAATGGCCCCTCCTACCAGGAGGCAGGAGACATCAAGGGGAGATTCAGGTCTCCCTCAAGTACTGCTTTCCAGCAGAGACTCACCCTCTTCCCCTACTTTCATCTCTATCCAATCAGGCACAAGGAAACTTCCAGAAGCTTCTAGCACTAAGAACAGCCCTGAAGTCTCAGGGAACAGAACATACCCAGCTCAAAATGTGAACCACCAGGAAAGTATTCACAACAAAGCTGGGGAAAAGGAGATGGCCACCAAGGGTGCTGGGCAGCCCAACCCTGCCCCTCCTTTGGAGAGGTCTCTGCCCACCGGGTGGAAAAAGAATACCTTGGAGCAGCAGACCAGGCTGAGTAGTTCCCAATGCTGTGGAGCAATGAGAACTGTGACGGAACAGTATGAGGAGGTGGACCAATTCGGGAACACAGTCCTGAGTTCCTGCACCACAGTCACAGAACAGGCAGAACCACCCAAGGACTCAGGCCCCAACCTTGAGTTCCATGCCTCCCCTTTGCTGAGGCCATTCCTCTACAGGTCTACTGGGCTCAGCAGTGGACTAACAGAAGCTGACATGGCATGGGTGTCCTACAGCCACTCCCAGCCAGCTGCCCAGTGAGTCCCTCATTCATGGGGATGCCTGCCCCAGGGCCCCAGGATCTACTAAGATGTGGATACTCCTCCTTGCTCATGCAAGGCAGGGACCAAGAAGAAAGGGCATCTTTTGAGGACTGCTGTGGGCTCTTTCTGTCCAGTTCTTACAAAAGGGGTGCAAAAGACCAAGAAACAGCACACTGAGTAGTGCTGACCATGGTGCAGAGGGAATTTCTGGGCACTTGAAGAGGATACAGTATGTACAGACACACAGGCCTGGCCCACGCCTGCACATGTGTAAACCCACACAGCTGCCTCGGTCCAGCCTCTGCCTGTATTTCTTGTATAATAGAGCCAGAATGTTGTCAGACACCCTCTGTGTCAGCCTTGGAGAAGAGCAGAGATGCTGGCCACAGTATTAGTCTGTGCAGTGTTGGTCTGGCCCAGATCAGTCCATGTCCCAACACATTTTGTCTGCAATGGGAGTCCCTAAATAAACCCAAATTTGAATCTCTACTCTGTCTGACTGTGTTCACATCTGTTCCAGAGTCGGTGTTCACACTGTGGAAAAACAGCCACAGTCTCCAGATGTCAAGTTTTCCTAGCACCAGCAGAGTGGTGAGGCTCTGAAAAGCCAGCCACTCCACCAGAAGGCCCCAGAACTCCTCATTCTACACACACACACACACACACACACACACACACACACACACACTGCTGTCCCTTCCACTTATGGCTTTCCTTCCTGGATCTTCTTGGACCTCATGGTGGTTTTACAGTCCTGCCCCAAAGTGGGAGAGTAGCCCCATGGGGCCCAGCAAGGAGGAAGGACCTCACACCAGGACAGTCAGCATGCCCTGCAGGGCTCGGCCACTGTGTGCTACTTAGGCACTCCTAGGAAGGAAGTGAAGTGCTCGGGTTAGAAAAACTGGAATGATTTAGTGAACAGTCTCTCTCTCTCTCTCTCTCTCTCTCTCTCTCTCTCTCTCTCTCTCTCTCTCTCTCTC